TTGCTTCCAATGTTTCTGCTTCAGAATGATATATAAAAACTCACATCTTTATAGATCAATTTGAGATCTTCAAATAAGAAGCATAAGTAGTGCTATTTGTTGTTATCATGCATACACTACAGTCTAGCAAGAGACAAACAAGCCCTTAGAAATGACCTGTAGAGATCTATCACCTCCTACTAACCTCCTTCAAAACATATTTGGATGTGTTGCAACCTTTTATAGCTCTTTGGCACTAGTAATCCACCATTTGATCATTATAAACATTCACAGCAGATGTGCCTTCAGACAGAGCATGATGATTTAAGTGGATAAGAACAGGAAAAGATGAACTCTCAAGGAACAAAGATCCTGAGTTTATGCTAATAACTTTACTTCAAAAGACTAAATTAAAGAGAAACATGCAGATTTCCTTAAGCTCTTCTGCTTTGGAGTTAAGTATCAAAAGCGCTCATCATGTCAGGCTACTTCTTCTGTAGTTCTGACACAGTATTCTTTAAGTGAGTATTTCTGTAGTACTAAGTGTTTTCCCAAATTCAGTTTGTGCCCTCACTAAACACCACAGCAGAAAAGCCATCAGTGATGTGTTGGTGGAGGGGAACACGGCTGTTATGCAATTAGCTATATGAAGTTGCATTTGTTCTCTTTCCCCATTTACACCACACAAAAGAACAAATACAATTATAAGATGCAACCAGCTTTACTAGAATTAATTTGACCAATGGCAAATACTTCCTAACTTGATTACTGATCAGAGTTGGTGAGAAAGACTCTACGTTGTACGTGAGTGAAGATACGTTGTAGATGCAACAGAGGATTTTTATTGTCAAAATACACATAGGAATTAACACCCTATTATGTACAAAACTGGAACAGGACCTGCAAAACCAGAGAACTGGAATAGTGTGCTATAGTTACAGCTGTACAAGGCACAGGTAAGTTTTAGTTCTCAAAAACATTGCTGAGCCAGCTTTGCAATACAGGTCTGCATGGGGTGGAGGGCTGCTATTACTGGTCAATTTAGTAACATGTAGAAAGTCACTTCACACAATTTTACTGAATTTACAGTCACAGTTCTTTTTCAGTTCTTGCTTTTGTAGTCTTTCCTTAACTTCAGTGGAATAAAATACCAGTTCTACACCTCGTAGGAATCTAAAACCATCAGGAAACATAAAAAAAAAAAAAGTGTTTAGACTGGACATATATATCAGAAATCTTTTAGGTGAAATTTTATAGAAAGTATCTCAGTTGTGCTTTACTGGGCTATGTGGAGAAGCAAAAGGGTTGGAGACCTAGAGCTTTTTTTCTAAAAATTAGTCACTATGAAGTGTTCATTGTTTCTCCTGTACTCAAATCTGCTTCATTCCATTATTCACAGTAGCATATTTTCTACAAAACTTAAGCATCTTACTTTGCAGTGGTCAAACTGTTTCTGTAAGGTTGGAACATCCCCTCCAATGGGCATTTGCTTTTTTAGTTCTTCATCTTTCGCATTCAGCCACATGATTAACTCTTCCAGGGATGTCAGCAATCTGTTCCATTTCTCTGCACTGGCCTCCAGGTGAGCCCTGTGAAACAACATTAAAGCAACTTTAAAGCCCTGAATGGCAAAACCAGCGTAGAATGCAATAAATAAATAAAACTGCTTCATCATTAAGATAGGAATGTTTCAAGTTTTTCATTGCAAAGCAACTTTGTGTTAAAAAAAACCCTCTACTTCAAAACAGTTTGTACAGCAAATCAAAACAAGCAGAGAAAAAATGGGGGCACACAGACAAATATGTACCTGATTTTTCAAGTTATCTAAAAGTTTGAACACTGTAGGTCTAAGCAACATAAAATAAATGCTGTGTTTTATTGTGATTCCAGCACCACGGTGCACAAAATAATGTGTCATTTTGTGAGCTAAAGTGTGGCAAAATTGAACTTTTTCATGTCAGGGCCTTGACTCTCCAGCAGTGAAAGGAAGTTCTCCCAGTAGTGATTAACAGTAAACTGGCTGTGCTGCTGAACATCAGTGACAGATTATTTAATACATTATCTTTAGTCAACAGTGAGTTACTACAGACCTAACGCTGTGAATCTGCCCCTCAGTTTAACTAACAAAACCCTCCAATTCCACAATACACTTTTCTATTATTTTCTAAAATACCTTGACTTGATGGCTTCTCCCTGCACTGCCTACACGTCTGCAGGGTAATCTTCAACAGGGACCACCTAACCCTCCTTTACTGCAGTCATTCTACATTATGGATTCGAGACTAGCATGTACTCAGTTTATACCAGTAAACAACCAATTTCTTTCTCCACACAGCTGATGAAGTAGAGCTAAGCCCTTTTTCAGGGGAATCTGACACCAGCTTTGCACCTTCCTGCCCTGCTTCTGACAGATGAGTGAACTGAACTTTACTATTGCTTCCCCCCTTTTCACTTTCCTATGTTGCACAGTTTTTGTATCCTTTTTTCTGACTCACTGTAACTCACGTCTTGAAACTTTCACCTGGCTTCTCTTGCATTATCATCTCAAATGGCATTCAAGTGAATGGCTGGGACTGATATGACAATAGTTGGACTGAAGGGGTGAATGTGCTGCAAGGTTAATTTCAAAGCAACCTTAGGTTTAGGTATGCTGGGATCTCCTAGGGATACTAGAACAGATAAATCAAAAAAGCAGTCAGTAAGAGTGTATGGGAGAGAAAAAGATACAAAGAAAAAAATCAGAGAGGAAAAAAAAAACCCAACACATTTCTGAAAATGATAAGCTATCTTTAGGAAGAGGAACCTATTCTCCATCATGCCATTCAGGAAAGCACCATGGTAACCCTTAGGAGGTGAAAAAAAAAAAGTACTCACTAGAAGTGATGTTTTACTGCCTATGGTTTCATGCATCACAGTTTGTGCCATCTCTTACTGCTCTCACTAATACCTTCTCTCAACACTGAATGCAAGCCAGCTGCTTGTAGCCCAGGCCTAAAGAGCTGAGCCAGCACCCTGCCCTGCAGTGAATGACAAGTGAGCTATTGCATCTGTGGTTATCCGTGCATGGAGGAAGTGTCCTGCAGGGCTTGGTTTTCACAGCAGCACCTCCCGAGTGTAACGCACTGTCTCAGCTCTCCTGGCCCATTTTCAGCCCTTTAATACTCAGAAATACTTTCGAGACAACCCACTTGTTCTTCCCATATGGATGGTATTAACTCTACAGCAGGTTAGGGCACAAGGTACCTGCTTCACAGCTGGAGCATTCACCACAGCTGGCCCCTGAAGCCCTCAGCCACGCACAGGGGAACACTCCCAGCAGCAGGAGGTGGAACACATACAGTGTTTACCTTTTCCTTCCCACAACCAGATTGACATCCCATCTAAAATGCCCTCAGAAATACCAAGCTGCAAAGCATTAAGTTACCCTCAGGTGCTAGGCACTCAGAACCAGCCCTCCTTTTTGGAACTGGAAACAGTTATAGCCCCTATTAATCAGGTAGAGGAGAGACACTGCTCTCTCATCTAAACCAAGACAGCCCCCATCTGAATTTACAGTTTTGCTGTCAGACACAGACTGTTACAAAAATAATGCATCTTTACAAATTTATAGGAGAAACCAGAATTAAAATGTTTCGATTTCTAGCTTTCTATAAATTTGGTAGTGAGATCTCTTTCTCTATTTGTTGTGATTTATTACTGTATCTAGCATACTTAAGCAGCTCTCACTTCTAAAAACTGGCACTCTCTGAGGCTTCAAGTTTCCGCTCTAATTATTTAGTGGAATTCTTGTATACAAAATGAATTGGAGTTTTGTAAGGGCCAGGGGGGAACCTGCAACTAGCTAAAGGGCAATTGAAGTGTGACTCACTGTTAATTTAACATACAGAGCAATAATATTAACAGTGAAAACAAAAATTTGATATTAATGTGAATGACATGGCACATGATAATAGATTAAATGCGTCGTAATTTACTCACTCATGTGGCATGCCAGATTAGTGACTGTAGCAAAATATCACTAGCACATGGTTTCAAAGTTGATTGCAAGCCAAAGTTGTGAGGACTGTGCAGTAAGGGGTCGGGAGGAAACAGACTACACTAACAGGAACTTTAAAATTCTTCTCTGAAGACAAAGTGAGCTAACCTTTCTCTTGAAAGGTAAGAAACACATTACCGGGGGGGGGGGGGGGGAGCA